AGCTGTGTTAGTTCTCAAAAAAAAAAAAAAAAAATTCCTGATGCATTATTTAGACATTGGCATACATAGCTTTGTCCTCTTTTAAACTCCCACCAAATCAGCATCAAATCATTCCTCTCCAGTGAGAAACAACATGTCTACTGGACATAAAATCCCTTCCCACTTTTGGACAAAGTCTGCTCCTTCTCATTTGGGACCATATCATGCGCCATGTTTTCAAACGAGAAAGATGACTCATCCCTGAAACATGGGCACTGGCCTCAGCCATGTGCGTTACTTGGGGAAGGCCACGACAAACCTTCCGCTGCTTCATCACTTTCCTATGACTGGCACGGCTCCCCCGCTTCCTTCCTTCAGTTATTGACATTATCGCGACAATGGCACTGTTCTCAGGAAGTGGAGAGTAACACGCATTTCTAAATCTCTCTCTTAAATCATCAATAAACCTTTTCAAGGGGTGGTGCCAAGAAGGAGTAATGCTCAACAGGCAACTTCCACAGCCTGGATAGACAGACAGACATGGGAGGCTTCGCCTAGACAGGCGTGTCGAACAGTTGCCTCCAGGACAACAAACAACTGGTATTTAAATTATTTTGTTAGCATCACCCCACCTCCTTGGCTGACACCCAGCTCTGCAGCAGCTCATGGCTGCCATTTCGCTGGTTCGGCAGGGCCAAGCTTTCTCCCATGATGATGGGAGCCAGCAAGCAGCTGCCTTTGCAGGAAGCAAGTACAAAGTCATCCCCTTAAAACCAAGGCTACAGTTGAGTTAAGGACAACACCAAATTTTTTAAAATAAGATTCTGGATCCCAGACAGATAAACAGTCTTAGGCCTTTGATGCACTGAGAATTCCCCTCAAGATACTGACTAGAGCTGTGTGAATAATTGATTTTCTCAGCTGAATAGCTGAAGCAACCAACCAAACAAACCCCAACTTGTTTGTTAAATAACTCGTTTTTCCCTCCAAAACTGGAGGGAAAAAAAAAAAAAAAAAAAAGTGCAGTTTGGAACTGTTGAATTGTTCCATTCAAAGAGAAATTGTCTCTCTTCCATTTCAAACTTTTTTTCCAAACAAAATCTGAAAAGATATCTGAAAGTGCAATACTAAAACTAGATTCGTGATAGGAAGCAAGGATATGCATCCTCCCATAAGGTAGGTCATCTCTCAAGCAACATCACCTGAGGTGTATGGTTCCTGCTTGGTGAAATTTGGAGAAACAGCTGCCCTGCTTTAAAATCCAACCCCTGGGAGACATGCTCAGGTTTGGGAGCCTGGACCCAGGTTTCCCTGCATACAGGGACAATGCTGAAAAGTAACAGAAAAGTGCTACCCCTTAATTTCTGTGTTGCACACTTATGTCTCCTTATGGACATAACTCTTGAGTGAAATGCTTCACCTGTGAGATGTCACAATGACTTCTCTCCATTTTCCTTTTGCTCTGCTAAAGGGTCTGTGAAATCCATTAAAAAGAAATCTGAATTTGTCAAGAATCTTGACTGCCTGAAAGTGCATTTTCAGTGTTAGTATTGTCTGCTTTTTGATCACTCTGTCAAAAAACCCAAAGTCATATATGTTCATAAGTCACTATTAGCTCTGACAAAGTGCTGCGTTTCTCTCCAAAGAACCAGCAGAGAACAGCAGCGTTACAGTCAGCTTGGCAGAACGGGACTGATGAGGAACATTGAATGAAAACACCCACCTCGGCTCAATCACTCAAATTGCCAAAAGGAGGAACGTATGCGGGCGGGAGGTTCTGTCCTGTCTACTCACAACGGCGCCCTTCCAGATGCGTCACAGACACAAGTATTCACAGCGATTTCAGGCTACATCATGGCGCTGTGAACTGGCGACATTTCTCCAGAAGGTCCTGTTTACCCACTGGTGCAGGCAGCACACCATCTCCCGCTTGGCCTCGCAGCGGCCACCATTTACTCATGCAGGGTCATTCCGAGGCGCTTAGAGAATGGACCTCGGCCTCCCAGCCTTTCTGATTAATAGCGAGCGCGCTGAATATTTCATGCTATTGCAGGGTGCAGGCTGTTGACAGAAATTACACGATTAACCTGGTGTAAGCCATCGCTATTTGTTCAGGACGGCTCCTTGCGGGCACCGAGACTACCCACAGCACAGCCAGAGTTACCCAACACCAGCCCTGCAGATCCGCAGCTCTCTGCCTTGGCTCTCAACGTTTCGGCAGCAGGATTTTCATTTGTAAAAAAAAAGAGTAAGAAGTAGATTGCCTATAAAATGAAAAATGAAACGGGGGTACGGGAGCGCTGGTTGTATTTTGAGCCTGATTATGCAATGTAGTCAGGATTACATAACAAGGGGAGTGCAATTACAGAAACACAGCTCCCATGATGCGGAGCCCGGCTATGATGACAAGCTGGCAACCCATCATGGATTGCACCTCTGTAACCCACAAATTAAATTTAAATTATTGAAATGCGAATGTTATAACTATTTAACTATGAAGTTACTGGCAGCAATTTATTACTGCCTTTTTTTTTTTTTTTAATCCCACCTGCATTCTCTTTTCTTGTAATTAACTTCATAAACTTCTGGAAGAATGTTACTGGAACTCTTGCATTTTAAATGTGTTTATTAGTGATGCACATATAAACATACTCTGTTATCAGAAACTGCTACTACTTTCTGGAAATCTCTTAAGTGGTTTAGGGAAGAAAATCATCAGATTAGATAGCTTAATATTTATTACTAATAAAACAATTTAGTGGTTTTCTTCACTGAGACATTTTATGATCCTAGTAAATCTTAATTTAAGCCTTTTACATTCAACATCCAATACTGGAGAAAGATGCTGTTAAAAAAAAATGAGAGAATTTAGCACTGTCCTTTTCTAAATCCTTGTTTAAAATAAAGAGAACTACAACCTCTATAAAAAGAGATGGGTTAACAAATAGTGAGGTGTGGTAAGAGTAGCTACAGAACTTCAGCATACCCCAGGCTCAATGTCAATAATTAAGGCACTTTTTTATTACTATTATTACCCTGGTAGAAGTTTTTTATACCCCAAGGTGACCTAGGAAATGACCTCTTCAAATGAAGTGCAGAGAAAAGTATTATCAACTGATTAAGAAAAGGAGCAGTAGGCCCAAATCAAACAGAAAAAGGAGGAAAAGCCACTTACAAAAGAGTCTGTTAAATAATCAAAATTAATTTTCAGTCTTAAGAGAAACCAAGCATCTACTTCTGCTCATGCAAGTAGCTCCTTGGAGGCAAACAGGAGTAGCCTAATTTTTAAGCAAATGAAAAATATGTTATTATTTACTCTTTCCCCCCCTCCATGCCAAGATATGAATTTAAGAAGTTCCTTAGCATCATTTACTGACAGAGGTGGAGCTGTGCATGTCCCCTGGGTTCAAGGGCACTCATGAAGTGAACAGGAAAATCACCCTGCCACAGCCACATGTATATTTGCCACTATAATAACCATAAAGAAAGACTGGCTACGAGTTCCACCTTCAAGATTTACCCATTTATTAAAAATGTCTTATGAACTACTTTCCTTCTAAGTTTATTCGGAAGGAAGAAAAAAGAAAAAAAGAAAAAAAGAAAAAAAGAAAAAAAGAAAAAAAGAAAAAAAGAAAAAAAGAAAAAAAGAAAAAAAGAAAAAAAGAAAAAAAGAAAAAAAGAAAAAAAGAAAAAAAGAAAAAAAGAAAAAAAGAAAAAAAGAAAAAAAGAAAAAAAGAAAAAAGAAAAAAAGAAAAAAAGAAAAAAAGAAAAAAAGAAAAAAAGAAAAAAAGAAAAAAAAGAAAAAAAGAAAAAAAGAAAAAAAGAAAAAAAGAAAAAAAGAAAAAAAGAAAAAAAGAAAAAAAGAAAAAAAGAAAAAAAGAAAAAAGAAAAAAAGAAAAAAAGAAAAAAAGAAAAAAAGAAAAAAAGAAAAAAAAGAAAAAAAGAAAAAAAGAAAAAAAGAAAAAAAGAAAAAAAGAAAAAAGAAAAAAGAAAAAAAGAAAAAAAGAAAAAAAAAGAAAAAAAGAAAAAAAAGAAAAAAGAAAAAAAAGAAAAAAAGAAAAAAGAAAAAAAGAAAAAAGAAAAAAAAAAGAAAAAAAAGAAAAAAAGAAAAAAGAAAAAAAGAAAAAAAGAAAAAAAGAAAAAAAGAAAAAAAGAAAAAAAGAAAAAAAGAAAAAAAGAAAAAAAGAAAAAAAGAAAAAAAAGTACAAAATGCATTGATTCAGCTCAGACAAGATCCCGTGCCAGGGAAACGAGGCACCTCTCCCAGAGAGGAAAGCTGGCAGGAACCATCTAGCTGCTGTAACTGCAGTACATACCCGAAATTACTGGTTCCTTTGAGACAGGCAGATTTTAAACGGGTACAACTTTGCCAGCAGCTCAGGCAGCAGCTCCAGGTGTGAGCCGGTGCCACATCTCTGCCCTGGGCACCAAGCCCCTAACCCGGGAGCACAGGGGTCTCCCCTGCTCCCCCGAAGGATGCCACGCAGGACAGCACCAGACAAAGACCTTGGGGCAGCAGCCCCAGCATCGCGCCCTACGCCAGCAGCAGCGCTTCGCACAGGAGACCAGCAAGTATGGCCGACTAGTAGGTGAAGGGCAGGAGATGGAGGACTCGAATCCCAAACCGCACTGGAGCCCCTTTTGCTTTGGGGCCCCTCGGGGAGTGGTGGGCATGACATCTCGGTGCCACACGCAGCAGGGCCAAGCCCAAGGACAAAAGACGTGCAGGCGGACACATGGACACACGTGCTCCTTGACCCCTCCCCTCCCTCCCCCTCCCGAGCTGCCCCCGTACCTCTGCTGCACCTGCCTGAGAAGGGACCTCGGAGGAGAACACGTGTGTCCCTGTCTCCTCCCCACCAGTGACACCAGGTCCTCGGGGGGGCACACCTGTCACCCCGGCCTGGCCAAGGTCAGCCACAGGTGGGGCCTGACCCGCTGCCCTTTGGGGTTCCCATCCAAACACGCACACGGGTGCACCCCCCCACACCCACGAGAGCGAGAGCCCACGGAGCCCCTACCTGCCCCTTGACCAAGCTGGCCGCAAACTGCCTCATGACGGCCTCGACGGTGTAAGCGCTCGACCAGCCGCGGGGGGTGAGCAGCTCCATGCAGATGGCTCCGCCGTCGAGGACGTAGCCGTTCTCCAGGCGGGGGCTGAGCACCCTCATGAAGGGCGGCGAGAAGGGGAAGTTGTCGGGGAAAGTGAGGTTGAGCAGGATGTACTCCGTGTTGGTCTCCTTCATGTCCTGCCACAGCACCGAGTCCTTGTCCACCTGGTGCAGCTTCACGTTCCAGTCGAAGAGGCTCTCGTCCACCAGCTCCACCGAGATGAAGCGGTCGCTGAGCCGCGCGATGTCCTGCAGCTCCTTCATCAGCCGCCGGGTCCGCACCTGCGTGCAGTGCTGCTGCCGGCCCGCGGGGGCCAGCGGCCCCGACCCCGACGGCAGCGGCACCAGCGGTGCCGGCCCCGACCCGCACCCCGACCCGGGGCCGGGGCCGGAGCCGGGACCGGGCCGCTGCGCCGCCTCCTTACCGGCGCCAGGCTCCCGGGCCGCCTCCCGCGGCTTCTCCCTGCCGTCTCCCGAGCGCGGCTGCGGGGGCTGCTTGGCGAGCTCCGGCGCCTTCTTGTTCTTGTGGCCCCCGGGGCTGCTCTCGCTGCTGCTGCTGCTGCTGCTGCTGCTGCAGCCGCCGCCGCCGCCGGGGGGGCCCTGCGGCTGCGGCTTGTTGCTGCTGTTCTTCTGGTTGCCCCTGCCCCTCAGCGAGGAGCCCTGCTGGCTGCTGCTGCTGCGGTGGTGGTGGTGGTGGTGCTTGGGGTCCTCCGTGTCCCGGTTGTGCAGCCGGATCAGCCCGATTTTCCGCAGCAGAGTGGCCATGTTGTGCGCGGCTCTCCTCTCCCTTTATGCGTGGCGGCGGTGCGTGTGTGTGTGCGTGTGCTATTATTATTGTTAATTTAAAGCCCTGCTCGGCGGATTTGCTGTTCGCGGGCAGGGAGGCCGGCGGCGAGGGCCCTCTCCCGCCGGTGTAGGCGCAGGGGCCGGCGGGGAGGGAGAAGGCGGCGGCGGTGCCGCGGGGAGGGTGCGCGGCCGCCGGCCGCCGCTCAAACACCTCCCCTCGCTAGGGCTGCTGCGGGCAGCATTGCAGCAGCGGGGCTGCTCCCGGGGATATCACGGCCCCGCTGCCGTGGCCATGATCCCGCGAAAAGGGGGGGGGGTGAAAAAAAAAAAAAAAAGGAGCAAGGGGAAAAAAAAAAAAAAAAACAACAACAAAACCAACCACAAACCACCCGCAAGGGAGAGCCACCCTCCCACCACCACCACCGCCCAGAGCGGGCGAAATCGCCTGCGCTGCAGATGGCTTCCCCCACCACCTTCGGCTCCCACCCGGCCAAGCCAATCCCCGGCGGGCCGGTCCCCGCGCCGCGCCGCGCCGGGCACCTCCCCCCGCGGAAGGGGGAGGGTTTGGGGGGGGGGGTGGAGGGGGGAGGGGGAGGTCGGCCGCCACCGCCTCCGCGCTCCCCCGCGGCGGCGGAGCTCCGGACGGGGCGGCGTGGGGAGAGGGGCCGCTCAGGACGCCCCTGCCGTAGCCCCCCCTACGCGCTGGCTGCGCGCCCGGCGGCACCGCCGCGGCGGGGCGGGGCGGGGCGGGGCGACGGCCGGCCAGCGCGGCGGGGGGGGGGGGGGGGGGGGGGGGGGGGGGCCGGGCTGCTCCGCACCACGCTGCGGCAGCGCGGCCCTGGCGGGGGCGGGGACAGCCGCGCCTCGCCGCCGGGGGTGGGCCCGGGAGCGGGTAGCCGCCACCCCGGGAGGGACCCACGAGTGCTCAGGTAGGTATTGCACGCGCGCGCGCGCGTGTGTGTGTGTGTGTGTGTGTGTGTCGTCGCTCACATGGCCCGAAACTTGCACAGCGGCATACTTAAGACTTTAGCGCACATGTACGCGCGAGAATATAGCACATCTATGATGCAGGTGCCTAGAAACCGTAGGGTCATGTGTAAGGAAAGTAATTGCATTAAATGCATATGTGTATATATATTTACGGCACATACACCTACCCACCTAATCACATATCATCGTATATATAAAGCATATACCTATAAAAATCAATACGTGAACATGGTTGAAAAATAGATATTACTCCAGCGGAGACTTCAGCTGACACAAGAGGAAAATGTTTCACAGTAACAATCGGCCACTGGAATAATCTCCCCAGGGAAGTGGATGCCCCAGCGCTGGACATGTTTAAGATTCAGCTGGGCAGGGTGCTGGGTCATCTTGTCTAGACTGTGCTTTTGCCAAGAAAGGTTGGACCAGATGATCCTTAAGGTCCCTTCCAACCTGGCATTCTATAATTCTATGATATAAATACATACATGTGCATATATTTGTGCATGTGTGTATTTCTGTATTTTTTATGTTGCTAATGATGTGACGATCTTTGTTTCTTCAGCGCAGCAGGTACACATATCCCATCACTCTTATTCCTGCTCACCTCCAGACCAGGTAGGTCCATCCTCCTGGGACTCTCTAAAGCACAGGAAGGACAAGCTGATTCCAAAAACCTCTGCTTCCACAGCCCTCTTTATCTTCAGAGACTGGAAAATAAAAAGAAAGCGATAAGTGCTTTGAACTGGGGAGAGGTGAAGGCAAGGCCCAAAGCATGACTACATTTGTTGTGCAGAGGACATAAAACAATGGGCAGTGTGTGCATATAGCAGCATTATATTCCATAACACCTTTCCCAAGCAAATACCCCCTTTGCCAGGAGTGGCCTAAAACACCGTTTTCTATGATTTTTAAGAGTAGCCTGCGCTAGAAAAGGGCTGCTGCGCTCCTGTAAAGAGTTCCAGAGGAAAATGTCTGGGTTTCTTGAAAGCTATCTGCAAGGCACATTATGTTTTTACCAAAAAATTGGGTAACTGATTCGCTTCCAAAAAAATGTTGGGATCAGTTCACTTTTGAGCTTTTTTCCCCCTTTCTTCTTCCTGTTACTTAAACCACTTAGTTTTACCAACAGGTCCATATTCAGCAGGTGACCATTATGTCAAACTAGGCAGTGTGAAATGTAGTCTCTTTGCCAGGCTTTACAAATGGACCCAAATGATAGATCAGTCTGATTTACCATGGATTAAAAACCTCGCTGTTTTTAAAATCAGGATCCTAGAAGTATAATTATATTTGTTTTTCAAAGACGGCATTACTGAAGGTTCAAAATCATCTTAGTGAAATTATTGAGAAACCTTCTTACTAAAAGGTTGTTCGTAATTTCATTTATTTTCTCAGTTTGTGCAATGCACACAAAGAACAAAAATCAGTATTTATTTATTTAAAAATCTTACTTAATGATATAGCAAGAAAATGCACTGTACAAAATCTGTATTTGAGGAGATCACAACAAATGTAAACTGAATTACGGGCCACACAGCATAAATGAGGAGGAGGAGGAGGCAGAGCAGGGCTCCAGGGCCCAGGCAGGGCTGTGCTGATGGTGGTTGCACCACGATACCATGGGACTGGCAGGATGGCAGCACTGCTCTTCAGCTCCTTCAGGGCAGCAGTGTGTGGGGGAGCAGGGGGTGGAGGCCTCTCTTGCTCCCAGAAGACGCCATGGGGAAAGGTCAGGAGATACTAGTGGAGCTGACCCACGTGTGATACCTGCTGCCTCTCTCACTGGCTTGCTTTGAACAGAAAGAAAATGAAGAGCTATGAGCTAACTGGTGGCCCAGGAAGCACAGATGCCCCAACGCTGTCCCTGTTTGCTCCTGCCCTCCATGCCTCTAGGCTGCCCAGTCCAAAAGCCTGTGTGTTGCAGGAGATATTTGCTGATTTTCCTTCCCTGAGAACATCTGCAGGTGAAATACTGTTGACAAAATGTTTCCCAGGGGGTCAGAAGTCTTGGGGAATGTGATGTGGGTGGCTTAAAGCATCTGGGAATGGTCTGTCCATCTCATGTTCCTCTCCTACCTACCTTTTCTCTATAGCCCACTCTGCCTGAGCAAATGAGGAACTTCCAGTTTACAGGATATTGGAAAGTGTGTCCAAGCCTTCCCCCAGTAACCTTCTGGAGTCCCAGACATGCTGCCCCTCTTGAGCTATTGATGGCCCATCCCTGAAGCTGGGAAATTTCTGGAGTGCAGGCAAGCTGCATGCAGATATTTTGTGGTGCGTGATGCCTCCAGGTAACAATTAATCTGTGCTTCGATGGGCAAATGACTGGAGCAGGACTTGCAGGGGTAAAAGTGAAAGCACAGAAGGAAATTTCTCTTCCTCTTGCTAGTACATGGAGCAGGGCACAGAGAAACGTGATGGGGCAGGTCGGGAAGCTGCTCCTGCTCTGGTGCGAAAGCCTGAGGTCACAGGAACTTCACCGGCAGTGTCAGTCCTGGCGGGCAGTCGGGCCGAACAAGGCGGTCGGTGGTTGTCCCCGGTTGGATATCTAGGTCAAGACAGGGTGGTGGAGCACATATGCTGAACTGAACCAGAATGCCAATTAGCAACTCAAGCCTTTGCATTGGCTACATTAATGTTTTAAACTGAAAGGTCTCTGCATGGTGTTCCTGTGACAGTTGGCAGCAGGAGCTGCTATCATAAATTTAACATGATGAAAGTTATTTACCTGTCTCACACAACTGCTGAAGTATCTACCCAGCGGTGAAGCCATAAAAAAGAGCAAGGCCTCTGCAAAGGGAGACCAGAGCCAAGCAGCCCCTCCATGGCTTTGCACCATTGTTTTGTAAAATGGTACGAGATTAATGATGGAAGTGATGAGAAAGCTGTTTCAGTGATATGGAAGGTGTGCTAGGTGTGCCCGGCCGAACGGCGTCCTGCTGTGACAGGTGACTGCTCTGATCGTGCTGGAGGTAGGGAAATCTGGTACAATCTGTGTCTGTACCATCTGCAGGGTAAAAAAGCTGAAGTGATGTAGTGAACTCCTCTTTTTCATACCCAGACTTCCTCAGCAAGGGAATTAGTTGGTTAGTCCAGGGTGGACTATGGATGGCTGCAAGGCTAGGGCCTTGAAGCAAAACAGAGTAAAACAGGTTGCAGAGGAGACTCCTCCTTTATCATCTAAGCTGTCTTTATCCACATATTCATTGACTAACAAAAAACTCTGAACAAATTTTGTTTGTGATCTCTCTTTACAGATTCCTCATTAATGTCTGTGTCATAGTATCTTACATAATAGAAACATACCTATTACCCCTGTTCATTATTATACATTCCCACCAGTTTGCCAGGTGCAGGAGTCAAACAGAACTAGCCTGCAATCTCCCAAACACGGAGCTCCCATCTTTGCCTGGGAGCAGGACTGGCTGATCCACTTACAGTACATAAAAACATCCTAGAGTGATGCAATGACTTCAGAACCAGGGAGGTAAAAGGGCATCTGGGTATGAAAAACAGACTGACCTCTGGCAGATATTTCTCCTACATATTTAGCTGGAGAGCTGCTTTCGGGCTCAGCCATTGTACACTGGTTAGTGAAACAGGACAGTGTTCAAAGCTCAGGTCTAGCAGCAACCCTCAGCTTCATGCAGAGCATACTGCAGCTGATGAAGGGCATCTCAGACTTCTCTTGCATCAGAGAGGCATCCGTCACTAACTTGAGATTCAGAGCTCTGAACTCCTATTGCAATACCAGTTTGGTGTCGTTTGGGGCTACCAGGAAGGTGGTTTTTCTTCCAGCAGGATAATATTGGCCAGTGATTTTCTCATTTTTACTGAATTTGCAAAAAAGGAGTTACCTGGGGCTCAGCGAAAAGCTCAGATGTGTATTTGCTTCCACTTAAATGCAGCAGAATTTTAAGGCCTGTGTTAGATAATGTTACTTAAATTGAACAAGTGCAAATAATCATTTCTGTGACGAACAGGGGAGCAAAACACACATTTTAGGAGAATTAGAATATCTTGTCTTGTTCAGCATAGGCCAGCAAAGACTGAATAGGGGTGTGGTAACACTTTATAAATACATTTGAGAAGTAAATATCAGAGAGGGATATTGACTTAATCACAGGATCAAATGGCTGTACTGAGAGTAATCCTGAATACAGTTGGAAATCTAAAGGCTTCCAGCTATCTGATGAATGAAGGGCTCGAATACTCTCCTGAGCACTGGAAGCAGTAGTTTTCAGTCTTGTAGGATGGAGCCTGAGAAGCTTATGGACATAACTGTACAACACAACAGAATAGGAAAATGCCTGAAGATAGAAAATTAAACTTATATTATGAGTCCCTGGGCATCTGATATGTCAGTATCCCCAAATGTGTGAGAAAATAGATTAGATCACTGTCAATTTGCATTATACTTATAATAATTCCATGCCTCAGGGTTTCCACTGGAGTTGGGAAAGATTTTATTATATTCTTCTTGATGCATGATTTGTCCTCTACCAGTCTTTTTTGCCTTCATCTGCAGGTCTGCAGATAGATTGTTATAGGTGGCATTAAAATCTAATGTTTGTGTCCTTCTCATATACTCAGGATTAGGCCAGGCCCTAGACCTGGAACTCTAAAAGTTATTTACCTAGATCAGCTTGACAGGCACCAATGATTTCCATTATAACATGGGACAGAGCCTCCTTCCTAGAATCAAATGGAGTTTTATTCAGTGAATTCTTTGTAAACCTGCTAACAC